TATCAATACACACTTCAGCAATTTTCAGAATCTGATTGGTATGATTTCCAGAATGAGTACAAGCAGTTTTCTAGTCAGGCAAGACACAAAATGCGATTCGTAACTTCACTTGTTTCCCAAGTAACCGCGTGCGCCTGGTTTCACCCCGAGTCGCACACACGACCGAACCGAATTCGGTGAACACTCGGCAAGTCCGAATCCCGAACTTTCTCGAACGCGCCTTGGTCTCGAAGCACATTTTTCCCCTCGTCAAACTCATTCTCGATGCTTCTCCTTCTCTCTCCCTCCTTCTAGCACATTTCTTCTCGATTTCTCTCCCGCTTCTCACGCCGTAGCCTCTATTCCCCACCGTAGGCCGATTTCCACCGTTTCACACACGCGCTTCCATTTTGCCGTCATTCCGCCGTCGTAGATGCTTTCGCCTTAGGTTCCGTGGTTGGGAAAACCAACCCTAACAATCTCCCCTGTGGTTCCTCAACCACGAACACCACTTGCACTGCTCCCCTGCTCCTTGTAGCCTTCACAGGGTCTAAGTCGGCTTCACGCTCCCCTGCAGCTCCTGCACCTTGAACCTCTGCTTACGTGTCTTGTAGTTGAGCGCCTTGACATCCAAACCTTGAGAGATTTTCTTATGCCTCTCGCTTCTCCTCGGCATCTTTACACCCAACACCTCTCGGGTCTCGTACCCTTCAACGCGTTCATCCTCCTTAAGCACTTGCCCCTTTGCAGTTGCATTCGCCTTTGATCCTTTCACCATGATGTCCCCTTTCACAGCTTCAACTCCCACACACTTCGCATTTACTGCTTCATCTTCAACCACGATCGGTGCTGCAAAAGTGTTGACATCGTCTCCATCTCCACCGTTTACTGCTGCTGCCTCCATGGTCACTATCTCCTCTTCCTGCTTCACTGCTGCCTCCACACTCGCAGCCATATCATCCGAGTCCTCACTCTCATCATCCTCAGTAGGCTCAGGATCCTCATAGATCTCATCCTTATCGTTCATCGCTATCAAGTTCATCTCATAGAAACCGTCACTGAAATAACCATCCGCATACTTCTCCCACTCAGGACCAAACACTGTAACCTCGCCTCTGTCATAAAATATCTTGCTCCCCAAGTCATCAAGCTGTGACTGACTGACCAGATTTACCTTCAAATCCTCAACCAGCAGCACATTCTCCTGTCTCATCTCTCCATACGGACTCTGCAGCACCACGTCACCCTCCCCTGTCACTGGTAACTTCCCACTGTTACCTTGTAGTATATAATCCTCACTCGACTCCCTCACATTCTCCATCCAATCTGACCTGAATGTCATGTGACGCGTGCATCCGCTGTCCATGAACCACGCCCTCTTCTCACGTCCATCTGTCTGAGCCTCCTTCGGTAAACGCACCACGTTCGCGAGATGCGCTCCTCCCAAAATCACATCCTCCTTTTCCGCTTCCACTACATTCGCCTTTGTTGCCACATTCCTCTGCTGCGACGGACCCTTGTAGCTCATGCTTTTCGGGTTGGAGTAGCACTCTGCGGCACGATGCCCGTAACGCCCACAATAATCACACTTGCCGCCAAAACCTCGTTTCTGCTGCCACTCCGCTCCTGCATTTTCTCCTTTATCATTCTCCACAGCTTTGCCCTTGTAGTTTCTGCTTCGAGGATTTTCATAGCAGTTTATCGCTTTATGCCCCCTCTTTCCACACTGGTAGCATGCTCCAAACGCCTTCGTGGCATTCACCATACCCGGCCTCTCCTCGTCGAATTCTGTAACTGCTGCTGCTGCTTTCTTCTTCCTCATCTCCTTCATCATCTCAAGCGACTGCAGAATATCCTGCAGCTTCATCAAACTTTCCGGCGGTTGGTACGTAAACATACCGATGTCGGATTCCCACTCCTTAGGAAGGCCTTGGATGATATAGTCAATCATCTCGTGCTCCATCTCCGCGGCTCCCATCACCCGCAAATCGTCGTTGTAGCTTTTCGCCCTGTTGATGTAGGTGATGACTTTCTCGCCTTTCTCCATGCTCAGCATCAGCAGTTGTTTCCTGATCGCCTTCTTGCTGACATCGTTGGTGCCCATGTATGTGGACTCCAGGTACTCCCACGCTTTCTGTGCAGAGTTCAGCTCCCTTGCAAACTGGTCCAAATCCACCGCGATTCCATCGGCAACTGAATGACAAAGCTGAAAGAAAACTTGCTTACTTTGCTTTTTGAACGCCGCTATTTTCCCCTTCGTATCCATCGTGGAAGGCGGAACTTCCTCCATCGTCTCCTCGTCGGGACGGTAGTACGGCAAGAGGTCCACCTTCTCTGCCTTCGAATGAACTTCTTTCGCCACACGTTGTAGTTGCTTCCATTGAAGCGCTGGGCTTCACTGAGTCCGATCGTCGGTTTCGCCACCAATCGGCCACTCGCAAGGGCCTCGAGAAGAGCCTTCAACTACGGGTCTCCAAGACTCACACTGGAACCCGAACTCGCCTCGTCTCCCATAGCGTAGGCGTGAACGACTCCTCTTCTCCACTAATTTCACTTAGCGCACCAAGTGAATTCTCGACGATCGACGAGCCCGTTCGTCAAGCTCTGATACCAGTTCTCAGGATCGTAAGCACCTTAGTCGGCAATAGTCTACTTGCTATCGCCTATCGTGTTCTCCATGATCTCCCGAATCCAATGATATGCGCAGCTCTGCTTGAAGTTGTCAATACAAACTTCAGCGATTTTCAGAATCTGATTGGTATGATTTCCAGAATGAGTACAAGCAGTTTTCTAGTCAGGCAAGACACAAAATGCGATTCGTAACTTCACTTGTTTCCCAAGTAACCGTGTGCGCCTCGTTTCACCCCGAGTCGCACACACAACCGAACCGAATTCGGTGAACACTCGGCAAGTCCGAATCCCGAACTTTCTCGAACGCGCCTTGGTCTCGAAGCACATTTTTCCCCTCGTCAATCTCATTCTCGATGCTTCTCCTTCTCTCTGCCTCCTTCTAGCACATTTCTTCTCGATTTCTCTCCCGCTTCTCACGCCGTAGCCTCTATTCCCCACCGTAGGCCGATTTCCACCGTTTCACACACGCGCTTCCATTTCGCCGTCATTCCGCCGTCGTAGATGCTTTCGCCTTAGGTTCCGTGGTTGGGCGAACCAACCCTAACAGAAAGGAGACTCAAACGGTGGTCAACCAGCTTGCTCATCACATGCCCCTTCACCTCCTGCCAGTCTACAAGGGAGTGCGTTGAAGGAACAAGGAGGATAAGAAATTACTAGATCGCTCTCATACCCTCCCCTCCCCTCTCCGCCCCTCCCCTCTCTCTCCATCTCATTTCATCTAATCTAATCTCATCCCATCTCATCTAATCGCATTGCATCTCATCTCATCTCCTCTCATCTCATCTCATCTCATCTCATCTCATCTCATCGCATCGCATCGCATCGCATCGCATCGCATCGTATCTCATCGCATCTCATCGCATTACATCGCATCCCATCGAATTGTATCGCATCGCATCTCATCTCATCTCATCTCATATCATCTCATCTCATCTCATCTCATCTCAGCTCATCTCATCTCATCTCATCGCCTCCGCTCGACTCCCTTCTCACCCATCTACACATGTTTCTTGCCTTCCCACCTCTCCTCCCTTTTCCCCCTTCTCTCGCCCCTTGCCCCCCTCTCCCTCATTCCCCCCTCCCTCTCTCTTCCCTCTCCCCTTATTTTCCCCCGTGTTGCCCATGTCCTCCCCTACTTCCTTTCCTTTCTTCTCGTTTGCTCAAGTGCTCAAAAGCGGGCACTCAATTCGTGAGACCACATGACATGTCAGCAGCATCAACGACCAAATCAGAAGAGGGACATATGTGTGCTCCGTCACGCTGCAATGGCTGCAGCAAGCCACCATGGTCCTATGCGAGAAACATTTGTGTGGAAATGGTTCGTTTCGTAACCACTCTAACCGACCTGATTTTGGACCACGAAAGGCTGCGATGTGGAACATTCTAACAGAACTTCTCTTGAATTGGCTTCGGAAATCCCAGATGTCCCCTTGGGGTGTCCCCTTGAGGAGTCCCCTTGGGAAGTCCCCTTGAGGGCATCCCAGTGCCGGTTTCCAACAGGGACAGACCTTGGGAGTCGGTGAAAGGCACGTGAACTAGTAGCGAAACTGTATGAACATCTGCGAACTTACACACATGTTAAAAAAGGCATAATTCATTCTCAGTGCGCCTCAGGCAGGCGCCGCTGCGCCTCAAGGCCCGGAGGCTATGTATTATAGCCCACTGGGAAGCAGAGCCGGGCGGCATGGTAGAAAGGGTGAAGGGATAGACCTTGGGAGTCGGCGAACCGAGTGCAGTCGACTCTCGCACCCCCCATGGGTGGGTGGGGTGCGGTGGGGTGGGTGGGATGTAGTGGGGTTGGTGGGGTGCGGTGGGGTGGGTGGGGTGCGGTGGGGTGGGTGGGGTGCGCTGCAACTGCCTGAATGTGGAATGCGACTATTTGTACTTGTTATCTGGGGACCTGCGCTGACTTGTGTTTTCTTGTTGACCTATCATGTTATGTTCCCTCTTGAACACCCATGCATGCAGGGACGCGAACCTGCACGCAAAGTTGCTGAAGGAGAGGAGGGAGGAGAGTTGACTTTTTTTTATTTGTGTTTCCTTGTTTGGACGCATGTGCACCTTCCTTAACACCCATTCAGGGACGCGAACCTGCATGCAAAAACATTGAAGGAGAGGAGGAGAGTTGACTTGCATTGACTTCATTTGTTGTTTTCTTGGTGTTGACTTCTTCCCTCCTTAACACTCGTGCAGGGAAGCGAACATGCAGGCAAAAACATTGAAGGAGAGGAGGGAAGAGGAGAGGAAGAAGTGCGAAGCAGAAGGGGACACCCGCGCTTGGAGCTCCTTCTACATGCGACCTGATACGGTAGGAGAGAGATGATATTAGAGGCACCTGAAAACCTCATGCTTGGAGCTCCTATTATACGCGACCTGATACGGTAGGACAAATGGGCACATGCAATGGTAGGTGCATGAATGTGCATGACTGCGATCCTTGTGCATGCCCCCTGATACATTGTGTGAAAAGAGGGAAGCTGGAGGGGACACCCATGCTTGAAGATCCTTTTATATGCGACCTGTTACGGTAAAAGAGATCGGTGCATAGCAAAAGCTCTTGGCAGCTTGCTACTGCAGTGGAGAGGGCATGGATGGGCCATGTCTTTCCATGTTCCCCATGCCGATCCCGATTCTCCCTCCATCTCCCTTCCCGTCCCCATTCCCACCTCCCCATAGGTAGCCGAAGCAGTGGCGCAGAGGTGCGCAGTGGAGTGGCAAAAAGTGATCGCCTGGATTTATCAGCGAGTGACACAGTGGTGCGGCTGGCCCTACGGAAGCCCACATAGAGGCGGCTACTCCATCCTGCTTGACACTCCATGCCCCATGCTCCCTGCTCCCCCCCTCTCATACCCCCGCCCCAGGTTGCTGAAGCAGAGGAGCAGAGGTACAGGGTGGCAAAAAAATATCTCCTCGACCCATCGACCAGCGACACAGCAGTGCGGCTGGCACTGGGAGAAGCACACATAGTGGCAGACAACAAGCGCGCCCTGCTTGAAGCTCCATTCACCATGCCCCCCCCCCCCCCCCCCCCCCCCCCCTCCCATTTTCCCCCAGGTAGCTGAAGCAGTAGCACAGAGGTACGGGGTGGCTAAGAGGGATCTCCTGGACTCATCAGCCAGCGACACAGCAGTGCGGCTGGCCCTAGGAGAGGCGCACATAGTGGCGGACACCAAGAGGGCTCTCCTAGACGCCGCCGACATCCACGTGTCCCTCATGGAGCAATTCGCCACCGCCGCCTTACAGGCTCTCCATTCTGTCTTTTCTGCTCCATGCGCCCTTCCTATCAGGTGGCTGAAGTAGTAGCCCAAAGGTATGGAGTCGCGAAAAGAGACCTCCTTGATCCATCAGCCAGCAACACAGCAGTGCGGCTGGCACTGGGAGAGGCGCACATAGTGGCGGACACCAAGCGGGCTGCTAGACGCAGGCATCCATGTGACCCGCATGGAGCAATTCGCCACCGCTGCCACTGCTGCTGCCAAGGCCGCTGCTGCAAAAGCAGCTGGGAAAGCGGATGTCAAGGCGGATGGTGGTGCTAATGGTGGTGATAGTGGGGGTAGCTTGGCGCGCAGCAAAAGTGTGGTGCTGGTAAAGAATCTGCCCTTCAAGGTGGAGGCTGGCGAGCTGGTGGGGTTGTTCCAGCGGTTCGGACCGGTAGCGAGGTTTGTGCTGCCGCCCACCAATACTGTTGCATTGGTAAGTGGGAGGGCAGGGGGTGAGGGCAGTGAGAGAGGGTTGTGAGGCGAGGTGGGAGGGAGGGGGGGGAGGGGGGGGGGATTTGGGGGGGGGGGGGGGGGGGGGGTCGGGGTTGGTGACTTGGTGGGTTTGTTTCGGTTGCATGCTTTGTGGATAGACATAGGTGCAGCGCAGCACGGCTGAGGAGGTTAAGCAGCTGGTCTCTTGTTCCCAACTTGTATGACCTTTTCAAGCGTGTCAAGTCTGGTATCCCCAGCTTCCATGCTCGTTTCCTCTCTGTAAACTTTTGAGTCAACTCAGAAGTCAATTCAGGTCAAGTCAATCAAGTATGATGTTCCGAACATGCATGCTCGTTTCCACTCAGTCCCGTACCACTATTCCCCAATTCTTCGAACCCCCCTCCCTCTCCCTCCCTCCCTCCCTCCTTCCCTCCCTCCCTCCCTCCCTCCCTCCCTCCCTCCCTCCCTCCCTTTCCCTCCCCCCCTCATTTTGCAAATGCCATTAGGGCTTTAAACCATTGTTTCTTATACCCTCTTGTTTCTTCTAACCTTGTCTTTTCCCTTCCACGCCCCCATCCCTTCGCCCCATTCACCTTTCACCCATCCCCCGTATAACCCCCCTCCTCTCTCCCTCACTCCCATGGTCAGGTGGAGATGGCCGATTCTGCTGATGCCAAGAGGGCCTTCAAGGGCCTAGCTTATAAGAAATACCAGTGAGTGGCTTGTAAATTTTATGAGTCTTGCATCCCTATAAGTGAATCAAGCGAGTGCTCCTAATGAACTCCTTAAATATTGTTTTTTTTTTCAACCTGCCCAGTGTAAGTATTTCTGTAAATGCTAGTGAATGTGCTGTCGTTTATGCTAGCACGCCCTTTGGGATGGGAATCAGCATAACGTGACGCTTCTCTGTACTTCTGAAGATGACCTTTTTACTTCTTTCAGAACACTTGATCCTCCACGTTTCCATTCTTAACCAGAACAGGCATGTGTCCCTTTCATTCCTTCTCCTCTGTACCGCTATGAACACCCTTGAACCGCATTGACCCTCTTGTTCTCATTGTGAACCGACCAGGCATGTTCCTCTGTACCTGGAATGGGCACCAAAAGGAATCCTCCTAGAACCCGCAACGCCATCGAACGCGCCAACCACAACAGCAACAGCAACTTCTAGGGAAGCGGGTGGGGGGCCAGGAGAGGGAAGAGCAAGAGAAGAGAACGAGGGAGGCGAGATGAAGAGTGTAAAGAAGCAGGGAGCAGTGGGGCTTTTGCCTGTGGTGATGGATGGGAAGGCGGCCAGGCGTGTGGCTGCTGAGGCGGAGACCGTGGGGGGAGTGGCAGGGAGAGATGGGGGAGGAGAAGGAGGGGAAGGGCATGCGGTGGAAGGGGAGGAGGATGGGCAGGTGAGCCTAGCAAAAGGAGGAACAGAGGGGGTGGGTGGGATAGGGTTGAAGGATGTGCTGGGAGGGTGGAGGGAGGTCTGAATTGAAGGAAGCCCAACTGTTGCCATAATGGGAGGCTGATTTTGTGTTACGTGCTGCCTCATGTTTTCTGCTGCCTCGTGTTAAGTGCGTGTTCCATGTCAAGACGTTGACCTTCCGTGCGTCTCCACCCTGTGCCATACCTCTTTCTCTCTCTCAAATGACGTCTCTGCCTCAAATCCCCCACCCCTCTCTCAACCAATCCCAACCTCACTGCCCTCCCTTTCCTTCTTCCCACTCTCTTTGCTCCACCACCCTGTTAGAATATAGCATTATGTATGTTTTTATTTGTGCGACGGTTACACCCTAAACTGGGTGTACACTCTGGGTCAAGGCGACCCAACCAATTCTGGTTGGGTGCCCCAAACACAACTCGACCACAATGAAGGGGGGGGTAAATAATGGTCCCCTCCAATAATTGTTGGTTACCCCAGCAATTGTTGGTCGACCCAATCTGATTGGTCCGCCAATAAATGCTGAGGGTACCCCACCTAGCTCCCAACTTCTCATCTCCTATATGTACCCACACTCTTTCTAATCAAGACAACACTGAGACTCTTTCACACCCGAGCCCACAAGCCACAGTTTGTTTGTCAAGATCCTCAGCTTTCCAACTCTCCATTCTCCTTCCCCTTTTTTCTCTTCCCACTCTCACATCTCGTCCCCTCTTGTATTTTCTTTCCCTGCATCCCAGCCCACGAGCCACAGTGTGTTTGCGAAGAATCTGAGCTTCACCACCCCTCGTTCCTCTTCTACTACCTTCCTGTCCCCCCTCCCCTCCTTCCCCCCCACCTTCTGCTTCCTCCCTCTCTCGCCCCTCCCTCCATGCCAGCCCACGAACCACAGTGTGTTTGTGAAGAATCTGAGCTTTGCACTACCGAGGCGCGGCCCAAGGAGCACCTGCAGAAGCTTCTTGCGTCGAGCTCTCACCTCCTACTGCCATCCTTTTACCCCTCCTCACCTCACCACTCTCCCAACTGTTTCCTTTCCCTGCATGCCAGCCCACGAGCCACAGTGTGTTTGTGAAGAATCTGAGCTTTGCCACCACAGAGGCACAGCTGAAGGAGCACTTGGAGAAGCTTCTTAGAAGCAAGCACACCGGGGCCAAGGGGGGCCCATCCATACGCAGCGTCACGGTGAGATGCGGATTTGGTGCGAGGTAGGGGGGGGGGGGGGGGGGGGGGGGGGAGAGGGGGGGAAGAGAGGGGGGGGAAGGGAGGGGTGGGGGTCTTGTGCTCATATATGAATGGAGAGAGCAGCTGATGAGCCCTTGCACTTTTTACCTGTGATTTTCACTGGCATGCACGTTGCCTTTTGTGCGCATTCTGCTTGTTCCTCAATTCCCTTGAGTATTTTGTATGCAAATGTTCAAATATATGTCTAGAACATATGATGTATATAGTATATATAAATACCTCCCTCATGTGTGAGCCCCTTGTGGCAAATAATGCATACGGCTCAACAGTCGTCCAACTCTGCTCCTCCCTCACCCGCCTTGGTTGTGAACTCACTGCACATCAAGAAGCGGGAGCAGAACAGCTAGAAGCTGTCGATGGGGTTCGGGTTTGTGGAGTTTGGATCGGTTCTCGCTGCATACCGCGCGTGCAAGCTGTTGCAGGTGAGTTGTGCAGCGTGGTCCTCATAATTTCACTTATGCATTCATGCATGTCCATCCACATCCAGCACATGTTTTGTATATTCTTGTTTGGATTCATGTAGTTTGGCTCTAATCACTGCAGATGATTCGTGTGGTGTGGTCTATATGCCTTCTGCATGCATGCACGTCCGGTACAATTTGGGGAGTGGGGAGGGGGGCAAGAACAACTGTAGGCAACCTGCTGCCTACCCCTACACTCCTATGCCTTCTTTGAGGCGCCTCAAAATTCGCTGCTTACCCCTACACCCCTATGCCTTCTGAACACCTCTATTCTACTCCTCCTTTCTGCCCTAACCGTGTTCAACTCTTTCATCAGGGAACTGTGCTGGATGGACATGCATCGCTGCTGCAGTTGAGCAAAGGGGAGGCGAAGGGGGGTGAGGAGAAAGAAGATACAGCAGGGGCAGGGGGCAAGGGGAAGGAGAGCTCGACCAAAGTGATGGTGCGGAAGGTGGAGATTTGAGGGTAACGGCTTTGAATGTTTTGCAATATGTTCATTGGGGTAGACAATCAATAGTTTGCCTTCCGCCCATCCCATCCCCATTCAATTTTTCTTTCTTCCATTCGTAATCCGTGTGCTCCTTCCCTCCCTTCTTTTTAAATTCACGTTCCTTGCGCTTCTTAGCCAGCCCTCATACTCATACCCATTTCCGCTCACCTTTTTGGTGCCTCAAAGTTATGTCTACTCTCATCCCCACCTCGCCTTGTCCCTTTTCTCACCTTCTTTTGTTTCCTTCCCCCAAACCCCCACCTCCAACCATTCGAGGCCACTAAGAGGGACATTCAGCAGCTCTTTACACCTTTCTCTATCTTTTCCCCCGGCCATCCTTCCCTTCCCTCACCCCTTTTTCTACCCTCCAGCCCCTCGAGGCCACTAAGAGGGCCATTCAGCAGCTCTTTGCACCTTTCTCTATCTTTTCCCCCGGCCATCCTTCCCTTCCCTCACCCCTTTTTCTACCCTCCAGCCCTTCGAGGCCACTAAGAGAGACATTCAACAGCTCTTTGCACCTTTCGGGCAGTTGAGCTTCATGCGCTGGTGAAATCAGAACGGGCAGGTACTGTCAACGGGAGTTGTAAGTTGGCCCCGTCCTCGCTTGGGCGGAGCCGACTTCGTGGTCGGGTGTGAGGGGAGCAGCCGACCCGCAGTAGTGGGCGAGCTGGTTGATGAGGAGGTCAACCTGCACGGGGGACACTGCACGGGCGCCGACTTCAGGGTGGCGCCAACTTCAGGAAATTGACCTGGGAAGTCGACCTACGGAGGGCGTCGGCTTGGTGACGCTAACTTGGGGCTGCCGACTTGGGTGGTCGGATGACAGACCCGCTGGTCGACTTGGTGGTTGGTCGACCAGGCGTGATGTCGACCTGGTGGTCGACGGAGGAGGGGCCGACGTCGACCACGATTCAGGAGGTTGAGTAGCCGGGCATCAAGTATTAGGGCGTCAACTTGGTGACGCCGACTTCGGGTAGCTGACTTGGGTGGTCGGCTAACAACTACGCTGATCGACGTGGAGCTGGTCGACCAGGAGTGACGTGGCTGATCAGATGCAGTCGTCAGCGCCAGGCTGACTTGGTGTATGCGTTGTGCAGGTGGCAAGGCTCATCGCGCCAATCATCTGCGAGCACCTGCAAAGCTGGTGCAATGCTGTACTGCGAGAGCAACGCTAGAACGCCGTCAACATACAGCGTTGGCACGCCGGCGATTTTGCACTCCTGGAGCGCGGTCGACCAAGTCATGCTGGAACGCGTTCGACCATGCTGCGGTGGCAGTCCACCGATCTGAATGTTAGCTCTGATGTAGTCTTGCCATGCAAACTTCATTGTACCATTGTTGTCAACTTTCTCTAGTGAAACTCTTGCCAATTCTCCCCATGAACAATCAAGCTGTGTGTGCACTAGGAAAACGACTAAGGACCAACGAACGTAAAGATCACACAAGCACCCGTGCCTACCCCGTAGTCTAGCTCTCGTTGTAGTAGTTATCTCCGCAGGTACTACTTTTACACAGCAACTGGTAAACGTATCTTGGTGGGTTGTTACACTCACCTTAGTCCTGGTTTAATTATTCCAATTATGAGGATCCTCATAATCAATCTGCAATAAAAAATGAGAGTCTTTCCAGAAATTGCCTACCTTTTCCCGCAAGCTTGACGTTGTTCATGAAGAATTTCCTCATTATTATGCAATTCCCTTTCCCTAATTCCTCTTTTCTCCCAGCTTGCTCGCCATTTTTCAAAACCTTCCTCCCATTCCCCACGACCCCCAAACCCCACCCTCCCTCGTGCCCCTCTTCCCCCAACCCTCAGCTGAAGAGCATGCGGCTGGCGCGCAAGTTTGACAGGGGCCACCGGAGGTTTGCGTTTGTGGAGTTTGCCAGAAAGAGGGAAGCAGAGAGTGCCTTTGATGCGCTCAAGAGCACTCACCTGTACGGCCGCCACCTCGTGCTTGAACGGGCCAAGGAGGGTGAGGGGGCTGACGAGCTACGTGCCAAAACTGCCGCCCAGTTTCTGGACCAGGCCCTCAGATTGGTTTAAGGGTATACTGATCGATCAGCGTGCCCCGGCCGCCCAGGTGTCCAAATCAGCGTTCATGGTTTTTTTTTATACTGATTTTGCCAGTGTAAAAATCATAAGTAGACTGAACCATCAGTGTAAAAAAGAAAAACAAAGTTGAATCACCAATTCAACTCAAAGTTTGCCGCTGCGAGAGTTCATTCCAGCGATGCAAAGCACGTCGGCACACGATCTGCTGTACAGCGCATGGCATTTCCAAGTGTGTGGGTGGGGTCTCGTGAATCCCGAGCCAGGTACATACTATACACACGCGTACCCCCCCCCCCCCCCTCCCAAATCGGTCAAGTCCGTTTTAGTGTGACTCACGACACTACACTGATTCGTCAGTGTTACTTCTACAGCAACACGGAAAATGGTCAGTGTGGCAAGGTAGTTTATACTGAAATTTCAGTGCAAAATTGAAGCATATGCTGAATTTCCAGGGAGAACGAAAATCACAGCTACAAAATCAGCCTAATCAGCGTGTTTTACGCTGATATCTGAGGGCCTGTTCTGGACGGCGGGGCGGGTGGCAGAAGAAGCGCGCCAATCTGAGGCAGGGCATGGATGATAGTGATGTGGCGTTCCGGGAAATGCAGTTTGGTTGAAAGTTTTTTTACTCTGAATCATTGTGATTGTTAGTGGAACTATTATATCCAGTAGTATCATTCAAACACATCGTGTACTTCTATTGCAGGTTTGACGTTGTACTGTATGCGTTCTTGTACTGCTTCCTAGAACCGTAAAAGACAAGAGATCACAGGTGTCAGATTGTTTGATTTGGGCAGTGAATCATTCCGCAACGCACCCAATCCTTCACGTTCAACCCTGGCTCCCCCTTCACTTCACTCCTGACAGCTTCGACTGCCATCGAACTCTATTGGTCGCACATGTAAAACGGAATCCCGTGGGGTGCTTGCCTTCCTCGCGTGGTGGCGCTTCTCTCCCAGTCAATTTCGTTTCGAACCACTCCTTCCAGTGACACCTACTTCTAGAAGCCACCTTCATACTCGGCGTTACTGCATCTTGAGATATTCGAATGACCCCCCACTTCCGAAATTTACCACTTTCAAGCCCGCTTTTTGCTCGCCATAAACAGCCAAACCAGACACCATTTTCAGCACGTTTTTTCTTCCCCAGATCATTTCGGTTTATTTAGGCGCGAGTCGAGATTAGTTGATAGAACTACCAGCGACCTGCGGCTTCCCGCGACCGTCGCGGCGTGATGAAGCCCGCAGCAGCCTTTCTGCTCGGCGCCGCGCTGCTGCTGATGTGTCACGCGGTCTCACGCGTCAAATGCGTTCCTCTCGTCAAATCACAGGGTGCGTGCCGCCCCGCGATGCCATCATTACAGGCGTGATCATCATGATCCGACAACTTACAGAGTCAATGAATCATTGAGGAGTATCGCGGCGCGTGCTGAAAAAATTATTAAAGTAGAAACTGCATCCCGTGGCGTCGTCAAACACATCTTGCTTTTTGCCATTCACTGCGCGATCCGCCGGCGTCAGCACCCGGTGCTGAGGGTTACTCCGTTGCCGGAACCTACTAGATGACTTCGCTGGGGAAGGTGATACCGTCTTCGCTGGAGGGTCATGCCAGCGGAGGACCGCTTGCGGGTTCGAGTCTGGTTCTCGCTACATGCGGAAAATGTGGACCAGCCGAGAATCGAACCAGGATCTGTTACGCCTCGTTACCCACTGGGTCAAAATGAGGGTTTTATTGAGGCGCAGCGGACCCTTCAACACTAGGCGTTACATTCCCTGTTCACTGGCCCTTTGCCCCCCTCGTCCTTCTATCGCCCTTCCCGTACACTGGGTCGAATTGGAAGAGCAAGTGATGGAGCGGCGGAATGTGATGAGGTGGGTGAGAGGGAATCCGATGAGAGAGGTGGAAGGCGTATGATTAGAGGATGGCGTGTGATGAGAGAAGGGAGACTGATGGGATGTGGGGGGCATGCAATAAGAGAATTGTGTGGAGCACCATTTGAGTCCTCTCCATTCCACTTTCTGCCTTCCTCTCTTCCATTGGCTGCCCTTCTCTCTTCCATTGGCTGCCCTTCTCTCTTCTCTTCCACTCCCCCTATTCCCTCCACCTGCCGCCAGCGCAAGTCCTGCTGGACTGTCAGAAGGCGTGGAGCACAACGTTTGACGGCTGGGTGATTGGTGGGGACTGTAGCAAGGCAAGCAGCGTCACATGCGACTCCCAGGGCATGATCACGGAGATGTGAGTGGGTCCCCATGCTTCCTCATGGATCCATGACTGCCTGGGTGGTTGGTGGGGACTGCAGCAATGCCAGCAGCGCCACGTGCGACTCCCAGGGCATGATCACGGAGATGTGCGTGGGTAGATAGATCCTCATGGGCTCTCATGGGCTTTCAGGGAGGGACCCTCATGGACCCTCATGAACCCTCATGCTTCTGATGTGAGGGGATCCCCATGCTTCTGATGTGAGGGGATCCCCATGGTTCAGATGTGAGGGGATCCCCATGCTTCTGATGTGAGGGGATCCCCATGGTTCAGATGTGAGGGGATCCCCATGCTTCTGATGTGAGGGGATCCCCATGGTTCAGATGTGAGGGGACCCCCATGCTTCTGATGCGAGGGGACCCCCATGCTTCAGATGTGATAGGTCATAGGGCCCTGATGCTTCAGAGGCTGTGCGCTGACATGTGTGAGTGAGATGTAAAAAGCCATGGGAGTGGATCCTCATAGGCCCTCGATCCAGGACATATAATTTTAAGTCGACTCAAAATATTTGAGTCGATTTTTGAGTCAACAAAAAAAAAAGTCCTCTCTCCCATTTCAGTGTCCACCCATCAACAGAATGATCTATGACGATAACTTAAACGGGGCAATTCCAGCCTCCATCAGCAGAAACCTTTTCTGACTGACGCGCCTACTTAAAACCGGCAGCCCAAATTGCACAAGTTGTAAAAGGTTGATGCGAGAGGGTTTTTCTGGTCTGGGTTTTGGCAAAAAAATTTGATATCGTTTTTTTCGCCAAACCCAGCCTGCCCTCGTATTTCGCCCTGTGGGTTGGCTCAGTTAGGGATGAGCAAGGTGGCGAACACCTGTTCGGTTCGCCTCGAACGTGTTCGAGGCGAACCGAACAGGTTTTGTTTTTTAGCTCAAATCGTTCGCCGAACAGTGTTCGATGTTCGCCTGAACACGTTCGTGTTCGGGCCGCTGCTGAAATTTGCCCGCGACGAACACGAACAGTGTTCGAGGTTCGCCCGAACACGCCTCCACAGGCGAACAGCGAACACCTGTTTTTTCCTAAACTGTTCGCCGAACCGAACACTGTTCGGTTCGGCAAAAGAGGGTGTTCGACAAGGGGCGAAGACGAACATGTTCGTGTTCGCCCTTTGCTCATCCCTAGGCTCAGTCATCAGAAGTCCCAAATTGCAGGCACACTTTTTTTCAAACCTTGCAAACACTAGTTCGTCAAGTTTTAAATTCTTGACCCGCGCGGCCCGCAATTTGGGCTGCGGGCTTTAAAAAAAAGTCTCTCTCGTTCCAATTTCCTCCCACCAACAGAATGATCTCTGATGCGAACTTAAACGGGACAATCCCGGACTCCATCAGCAACCTCCAAAGCCTTACCCACCTGTGGGTGCTGCTGCTCCTTGAGTGCTGCTGCTCCCAGGTCCCGGATCTGGGATGTGTCTGGTTTTGAGGCGCCACAAAGAAAGAACGAGTTACCTTTTCGAGGTTGTGAGCCAGCCAGCCAGCCAGCCAGCCAGCCAGCCAGCCAGCCAGCCAGCCAGCCAGCCAGCCAGCCAGCCAGCCAGCCAGCCAGCCAGCCAGCCAGCCAGCCAGCCAGCCAGCTAGCCAACCATGTCGTTTCATTCCAAGTCTCACGTTGATGCTGACGAGCTCGCTACACAGCCTTCGGTTCAGTCCCTCCTTACAACCCTCCGAGCTCGTTACATGGCTTTCAGTTCCTCCTTACAACCCTCCGAGCTCGTTACATGGCTTTCAATTTCTCCTTACAACCCTCCGAGCTCGTTACATGGCCTTCAATTCCTCCTTACAACCCACCGAGCTTGTTACATGGCCTTCAGTTCCTCCTTACAACCTTCCGAGCTCGTTACATGGCTTTCAGTTCCTCCTTACAACCCTCCGAGCTCGTTACATGGCTTTCAGCTCTTCCTTACAACCCTCCAAGCTCGTTACATGGCTTTCAGTTCCTCCTTACAACCGTCGGAGCTCGTTACATGGCCTTCATTTACTCCTTACAACCCTCCGAGCTCGTTACATGGCCCTCAGTTCCTCCTTACAACCCTCCGAGCTCGTTACATGGCCTTCAGTCCATCCTTACAACCCTCCTTCATTTCACAAATGCAGGAATTTATGGAACAGTAAACTGACTGGCCCAATACCAGCTACTATTGGCAACCTTCGAAATCTGTCCAAAGTGTGAGTTTCCTGATCAGCTACTTGGCTGGACGATGTGTGCATCACACTCATTTGCTATTCCATTCCAGCCTCACTTGCTCTGCTAGCCGCCTAACACTCTAATTTCTGTTTTTCGCCTTGGAGCGCTTTATTTCACCGGGCGAAATGGTCGAGTTGAGCCGGCACGTCTCGAGCCAGTAGAGGCTTGTCCCTTGCATGGCCCGAACCGAACAGACTTGAACCGACCTGAACGGAGTTTTGAGGCACCTCAAAACTTGTCCCTTCCATGGCCCGAACCGACCTAAACCGACCTGAACGGACCTGAGCCGACCTGGCCCGACTCGACCTGAGTCGACCTGACCTGAACCAACCTGGCCCAACCCGACCTGACCCGATTTGAGCCGAGCCGAGCGGACCATGCGCCGGGGTATTGGCCCGGGGACGCAGGCAAAGTGGACGAGCCAGGGGAAGGGAGGGAAGGAAAGGGCGCGGGGAAGTAGGGGGTGTTGAGACGAGCCCTGTCAGCTTGTCACTTCCCGCATCTTGTCACTTGCCGCATCTTGTCACTTGCCGCATGGCTTGTCACTTGCCGCATACATGGCTTGCGAGCTAGGCAGGGGTTGTTTCTTTTATTTTCTTTTAACCAGCGGGCAGATTCCAGCCTCACGGCTCGCTGGCTTCTCTAGGTTGTCAATGGCTTCCTGGATGAACCCACTCGTGCCGCCTGGCTGATCCTGAGCTGATGACTCATGAGAACAATGAGGGTCAGGTCGGGTCGATTCAAGACTAATGCTCAGTTCATTGTCTCTGTATGCCTTCCCTCTGTGTTCATTTGCTTATCAGGCATCTGGCTTACAACAGCTTAAGTGGCAGCCTCCCTGCATCCCTCGGCAATCTCAGGAGCCTTGACAGATTGTCAGTGCTGTTCCTCGTTCGGTTAACACATGAAGACAAAGTCGTTCTGAAACGTGTCGAAAATTGTCCTAAAACATATGTATTTTGTCCAGTAGCCTAGGAAGTTTGTTAGTGCCGTTGTTCCTCGTTCAGTTAACGTGTGCGAGTCGTGTTCCGCGTTTCTCATCATATGTTAATGCTGTACTCGTTTCGTTGACATGCGAGACGCATGGTTGTAAGTTACAACTTGTAACTCGGTTACTCGGCAGCAATGGCTCTGGTCTTGTTGAAGGGCTTGATCCAATCTATTATAGATGATGCAAGTAAAAGCCCGTTCAGAATTTTGCACTCATATGTATGTAATATAGGTGATGCAAGTACTACTAGTCCGTTCGGACTTTGCTCGTGTCTTCCATCCTTGTTGTCTATCTGAATGTTCACTAGACCATGCCCTTATCCCAACGTACACTGAGTAAAATGCTCGGTCAAGCATGGATTATGGCCTTAGTGCCTTAGTCCAGCTTTGAGCACCAAGCATTCTTCTGGTGGTCTGTGTGTGTGGCAGCAACTGAGTGCCTGCCTCATAGCTTCTTAGCTCATCACCTGTTGCTGTTGCTATATTGTATAGATACTGGAGGATGTATGCTCGTACTAACAAACCCCTGTCTGCCCATGACTCCCTTCTTTTTTGCACCCTATTTCCGAGGTGCATACAACTGCTTAGTAACAAGCTGACTGGTTCCATACCAGCAACGTTCAGCAGCCTCATATCTCTGACCTACTTGTAAGTTTTTCAATAATAAGAGCTCTAAGTTCTGCAACGAATTGCAGGCTCACTCCATTTTACGTCATCAGTTTGTTATGTTATCTCTCTCAACCATTGTACTGGAATTTGATGTTTTCCATTTAAGTTGAGATATACTCTTTTAGCATATATACACGTTTCGTATGTGCGCTAATGTTTATACGCTAATCGCTGCATGGTTGGGTTTGGGAATAAGCTTTTCCGGGCAGGAAAACGAATGGGGGAAAAAACCCGTGGGGGGGCCAATGTGGGGGAGGTTTGGGGGGTTGTGGTTCAGAAGTCATTTCCCGACACAAAACCCTGAACACACGTCCACGCTTGCACACGTCATTCCGCCTTCGGCAATGTGCTCGTCGTGCAATTCCGCACCGAATCGCATTTTTTTTGGTCGGGCTGCCCCTAAAGAAAATTGGCGAGCGTATAGCGTATTTGCTATCGTATAGCGTTTTGCGTGTACACGCTAGCGTGTATACGCTAAACACAAAGTGTTTTGATCACATATTCCAACTTACTATGTATGGGTTGGATCGAAGCAAGCCAACTTACTGTAGCCCGTGATGTGATGTGATGCGAATTGATAAGAATGTGATGTGATTTGATGTGATGTGATCCCATGTGATCCCATGTGATATGATGTAACGTCTTTCAATGCAATGTGACGTGATTTGATGTGATGTAAGGTACTGTGTTGTGAGTTGCTGTGATGGTAGGATAGGATGTGATGATCGTATGTGACGGGAAAGGATCGTATTGGGATGGAGTAGGATGCATTTCGATGGTACCTGATGTGATGCAATGGCATGCAACGGGATCCGTTTCCGTCTCTCTATCTTCACTGCCACGACTGCACTTTTGTTGCATCTGTTTCCGAATGAGAAGGCGATCTTGGGCGACGACGAGCGATCATAGCCGTCCATGACCAACCATGACCAACCATAGCCATTTATCAGCATTCAGCAACCATGAGCGACCATGAGCGACCATGAGCGACCATGACCAACCATAGCCGTCCATCAGCAACCATGGGCGACCACGAGCGTCGATGGGCGACCATGAGCGTCGAAAACAACCATATTCATGCCTTATGCATGCGTTATGCATGCGTCATGCATGCGTTATGCATGTCTTATGCATGCCTTATGCATGCCTTATGCATGCCTTATACATGCCTCATGCATGCCTTATGCATGCCTTATACATGCCTCATGCATACCCTACGAACGTGCCTTGTGTCTCTCGGTCCCATCACATCAGTAACCTTGGCTACAACAGCATGACAGGCACCATTCCTGACTTTCTTGGCAACCTCCCAAATCTTGCTCACTTGTGAGTGCTGCTACGTGTCGTGAATTGAAATGTGACCAGCACCACATGCCGTGTGCCCCACCCACATCACATGCGCACCACATGCCGTGTGCCCCAGCCACATCACATGCGCACCACATACCACGTGACCCACCCACATTGCATACCCACCACATGCCGCGTGAACCGCCCACATCACATATGCTCCACATGCTGTGTGACCCACCCACATCGCATGCGCACCACATGCTTATTCTCGACACAAGCTCTTGGCACGTGCCACTCTATATGGTCAAGACCCTGAGTTAGGGATGAGCAAAATCCCGAACGCCTGTTCGGTTCGCCTCGAACATGTTCGAAGCGAACCGAACAGGCATTTTATTTTTGCCTAAATTGTTCGGGCCGAACATGTTCGGTGGTCATGCTAGACGTTCGCCTCCGAATTTTGGCTCTCCAAGCCGAACACGAACATGTTCGTGTTCGACTTGGGGGCCACGCGAACACCAAAAATGTTCGCGTCAAAATTGGCCGCGACCAGATTTAGGTCGCGGCCAATTTGTGTTTGAGCTCATTTCGTGAGCTCAAACTCAGAAGTCGTTTTCGCCTTAGCGCTCCCTCACACAGCCGCCCTAGCCTCCTTGTTCTAGGTGCAAGCAAGTGCACGCTGATACTTGCAGTGTAAACGGACATTAGATAGATAGATCTATGCATAGGGTTTAACGTAGTGTAGGGAGTTTAGGGTTACTATTAAGGTTCAGCGAGCATCTCCGCAAAGGGCTCAAGTAGGGCGTATCCTACGCCGTAGGATTCGGATCGGGCATTAGGAACGTGCGGCACCATCCAACGCTACCGTTGCAGGAAGGGTGTTTTAGGGTTTAGGGTCGAGGGCGGAGTTATGGCTTCCAGGGCTGGTGGATCCATAGGCCGAGGTGCAGGCAGGGCTCAGGGCAGCGCACCGGGATCTCCACCACGACCTATGCAGGGGCGAGTAGGGGATGGACCGGGAGGAGCCGGCGCGATCTTCGTTGGGGGGTTGCTTACTGTACCGGCGCCGACCTCTCGTCGCTCTTTCCGTTACGACGGCCCTCGACCCCCTCCTTCGGGGCAGACGCCGACGCAGCCGGAGAGCGGCAGCGAGGAGGAGGATAAGGAGGAGGATGGTGAGGGCGAGAAGGAGGAGGACACTGAGGGGAGCGGGGATGACAGCGAGGCGGCGTGGGACCCAGAGACGCATGGCGATGGGGAGGGGGGAGATGATGATGATGAAGACCACGAGATGGATGGGTTGGAGCCAGAGGGGCGGGAGGAGGAGGTGGGAGAGGGTGGTGGAAGGGCGGCGACAGAGGCGGGATCACAGCATGTGCGTGAAGGGGGAGGGAGCGTGGGGGTTAAGGTGGGGGGGAGAAAGGCCGTGACCATTAGGGAGCCGAGGCAGAGGAAGAAGGCCAACAAGTTGAGGGAGCGGGCGTATCCCTGCACGTTCACTGGGGAGTCCTTGGGCGAGGGTGTAATCGCTCCCGAGTTCCTAGACGAGGACGGAGAGTCCGAGAGTAGTAAGGGGACTGGCAAGGGTAATAGGAAGCCGGGGTGGCAAGTAATGATGTTCGGACCGTTAGGGGCAGACGATAAGTGTCAGTGCAAGATTTGCACAGACAGGATTTCGTGGAAGCAATCCACAACAACCCCCGGCGAGCGGCACTTTGCGAGCTTCCACACTGCGCACATGCATGTGTGGCATCACCGTTACCACACCCCGTCCGTTCACTTGCCAGGGGAGACGTTTCCACGTGGGGGCTACAAGGGAGTGCCGGATGGCTACGTCTATCAGTGGCCACATGCCAAGACTTGGCCGCAGCTCGCCAAGGGGAAAGGGATGGCGACTGGTGGAGGTCATGGGTCAGGCGGGATGGAGCGGTGGATGACAACCAAACTGACCTCGGTGCAGCTACGGCAGGCGATCACGAAGCTGGTGGTCACCTGCGACCTCCCCTTCCGCATCGTCGAGGCCGAGGCTGTAAGTGCCCCATCCCATCCCATGCATGATTGGGCAAGTATGTGGTTAGTGGACGGGTCTGTCCCTTTGTGTTTTGAATGTTTGCGTGTGGCCCAGTGCAGTGCTATATTATTTTCATCCCATCCCCCTGACGTTTACTCCCCTCTCCCCCCTTGTCTCTACTCCTCTCCAGATTCATGAGCTACTCATCCTGCTAAACCGCAACTGCGCGCAGAAGAACTTCATCCCCTCGCGCTGGACGGTTTCCCGCGATACAGTGGTCTATGCGGCTGCCGCTCTTCAGTCAGCCATTGCGGAGATGCTGGCGAAGGAGGGGGATCTGGGGTGCAGGGTGTCGTTCACCATCGACATGTGGACGTCGCCCAACAAGAGGGCGTGGCTAGTGGTAACGGGTCACTGGATCGACGAGAATTACCAGCTGCGCACAATGGTGTTTGAATTCCGCGAGATTCACGGGCGTCACACGGGCAAGCAGATGGCGAGGGTGGTTGAGGAGACTGTGGTGCAGTGGGGGTTGGAGACGCGTTGTCTTGGGTTCACCTCAGACAACGCCTCCAGCAACACTGCCGCTTTCAGGTGGATGTCGGAGGAGGGTGGTGGCCAGTGCTTCTTCAACTCGCGCATGCACTTCCGGTACGAAAGGGAGTGTGCGTGGGATGTGCGATGAGGGAGTCTGGGTGCGTCGTTCCTGTGATGTGAACATGTTGAGGTTGTAGTACAGGCGGGTGGGCCTATGCGGCTTGAGAGTGGTAGTGTTTCGCGGATCTATGCCAATGTGCACTCACACTTCCCTTTCTCTCCGCCATTAATGTTTTGTGATGTGCGCAGATGCCTGGCACACGTGATCAACCTTGCAGTGAAGGCAGCACTCGCTGTGACCGCCATCCGCAAGTTGTTGAAGATTCTGAGAGAGATGGCGTCGTGGATAGGCTTCTCGCCGCAGCGCTCAGGGAAGTTCTTGGGCCTTCAGCGGACCCTGAACGCGCAGGGCAACCCCGCCAGACCGAAGCCGGCATTGAAGCTGGTGCAGGACAGTCCCACACGCTGGGGGTCGACCCACGACATGGTCGAGCGAGCTGGGGTTCTGCAGGAACCCATCTCTGTCTTCTTTGCCCAGACACAGGTGTGTGTGTGTGCCAGGTGTTGTGTATGCGGTTTTATGTGTTGGTATGTCAGTCGGGGTGTTTTCTTCTGGGACTTGCACCACTGTTGGCCATGCTTGACTAAACTTATCGGACCTCCAACAACCTCAACCACCCCACTTTCCACCCTAACACCCGCCCACCCATACGTTCTACCCGACAGGGCGTGTCGAAGGCTGACAAGGCGAAGATGGACACCTTGCGCCTGACGGACGCAGACTGGGAGACTCTGCATTCTGTCAAGACCTTCCTCAGCCCATTCGCCAAAGTCTCCAAGGCCGCGGAGGGAGCGGCGTACCCTACAGTGGCGATGGTCCTGCCGTACTACAACGGCCTGATCGACGCTATGGAGTCGCGCCTTGCCAAGGGGCCATCGGCTACGCTGAAGCCGATGATTGAGGGGGCGCTGGGTCTCTTGAAGAAGTATGAACTGATGTCAAGCAACGAGTTGTGGATCGCCACCTTCCTGGACCCTTCCATGAAGGCGGCGTGGTTCGACGACGCGCACTGGGAGACGCTGCATCCTGATACCGACCGGAGGGCGAGGCCTCGTCCCTCGTCAGGCGAGGTGATCCAGCTGGTCCGCGAACGCGTGGCCGAGTACCAGGCCCGGGCTGCAGCAATTGCCCCTCGGCCGACCCCACTTGCCCCAGTGACGGAGGAGGAGGAGGGAGACGCGGCGGATGACGACGAAGACGCCGAGTTTCTCCCTAGTCGCCGACGCCCTGCGGCGCGTCTTTCGGCGAGCCAAGAGGCGGGGAGGGGTGGGATGGTGCAGGATGACGAGGTTGGCAGGTACTTATCTGAGAGGGTGCGGTGCGACGTGTCAGCGTTGGAGTATTGGCGCAGCGCCACCAACATGCAGACGCTGAGGCGCATGGCCCGGGATTATCTTGCCATCCCTGCCACGTCCGCGTCGAGCGAGCGCGTGTTCTCCCTCGGCCGCAACCTCATATCCTGGAAGCGGCACCGCCTAGCCTCTCAGAGGACGCGAGCTTCCATGATTCTCAGATCATGGTACACCTCACACCCTGGACAGAGGATAGGCGAGGGCCGCCGTGCAAAAGGCGAGGCACCACCAGAGTTCGCCATTGAAGGCGAGGGGGAGGAGGAGGACGACGAGTGGGAGGAGGGGGAGGGGGAGGAGGAGCAGGAGGGGGTGGGTGCTGGCGACACCTCTGACGCGGAGCATGCTGTTGTTGGTAGTAGCAGTGGTGTGCAGGCGTAGGATTTAATTTGACAGTGACTTTTATATAGGCAAAACATGATGGTGTCGTATGCTAGTGTGCGTTGCATGAACACATATACACCCTCCACCCCCCTATCTATCTTCCCAACCCTCCAGATTCCCTGTTTGACCAATGTGACTATAACGAAAGTGCCCACGGGCGAACTCGAACATGTTCGGTTCGAACATGTTCGAGTTCGCCCACACATACCAAATGTTCGCCCCCATGGGCGAACGGCGAACACCTCCTGAACCCTAAATTGTTCGCCGAACCGAACCGTATTCGGTTCGGGAAATGTTGATGTTCGAGCGAACTCGAACCCAAACGTGTTCGAGTTCGCCCTTTGCTCATCCCTACCCTGAGTTAGCAAACAACTATATGCCTATTCATATGCTTGCAATACGGCCTATCATAATGTTGGCTTTGGTTTCTACTCTGCTCTTTGCATCCACACTCCCATGAAAAGCAGATTCCTACATGAGAACGATCTGAACGGCACGATACCCTCCTCACTAGCCAACCTTTCAGACCTTGGAGATCTGTGAGTTGCTTGATCTGTTGTGAGATGCTTGACTTGTTGTGAGAAGCTTGACTTGTTGTGAGATGCTTGACTTGTTGTGAGATGCTTGACTTGTTGCGAGATGCTTGACTTGTTGCGAGATGCTTGACTTGTTGTGACATGCTTGACTACTTGTGAGATGCATGACTTGTTGTGAGATGCTTGACTTGTTGCGAGATGCTTGACTTGTTGTGAGATGCTTGACTTGTTGTGAGATGCTTGACTTGTTATGGGATGCTTGACTTGTTGCAAGATGCTTGACTTGTGGGATGCTTGACTTGTTGTGACATGCTTGACTACTTGTGAGATACTTGACTCCTTGTGAGAACCTTGAATTGTTGTGAGATGCTTGACTTGTTGCGAGATGCTTGACTTGTTGTGAGATGCTTGACTTTTTGTGACATGCTTGACTACTTGTGAGATGCTTGACTTGTTGTGAGATGCTTGACTTGTTGCGAGATACTTGAGTGTCAAGTCTGACCCGCCCCTTTATAGAGGGCAGTGGTGTTTAGGGTCTGTAGTGGAACGTGAGTGATTTTGTTCTAAGAGAGGGCGTGCAGCCTCTAAGATGAAACCACGCTAGTACAACGCGAAATCGTGACATACGCTAACCCAACAGCGCGATTTCCTAAAACTGCAGATTAACGCCTTCGTAGTAGCAAGATATGTCGGATAACATGCTTTCCTAGGCTGGAAACAAACTAATTGCTTAGCTTAGGTGACATTAGTGGCTGAACTCTGGCGCCAAGGCGTGTGGGAAGGTTCTGATGTCGAGGGTAAAAAATCCCCTCGACATCGAATTTGCTTAGGGTAAGGGATGAGCAATATGACGAACACCTGTTCGGTTCGCCTCGAACGTGTTCGAGGCGAACCGAACAATATTTTTTTTTGGCCAAAATTGTTCGGGGCGAACGTGTTCGGTGTTCGCCCGAACACGTTCGCCGTTCGCCCGGCTCAGCTGACCGAGGCGCGACGAACACGAACGTGTTCGTGATCGACACGGGCCTTCGACGAACGCCAATGTGTTCGTCGACGAATAGGCCCGCGACCAATTTTTAGGGCGCGGGCCTTGGTGTTTGGGCTCAGATCAAGGCCTTTTGCCGTTGCTTAAGTGCGGATCAAGGCCTTTTGCCGTTGCTTAAGTGCGGATCAAGGCATTTCGCCGTTGCTTAAGCTCAGATCTAGCATTTCGCCGTTGCTTAAGCGTAGATCTAGCATTTCGCCGTTGCTTAAGCGTAGATCTAGCATTTCGCCGTTGCTTAAGCGTAGATCTAGCATTTCGCTGTTGCTTAAGTGCGGATCAAGCATTTCGCCGTTGCTTAAGCTCAGATCTAGCATTTCGCCGTTGCTTAAGCTCAGATCTAGCATTTCGCCGTTGCTTAAGCGTAGATCTAGCATTTCGACGTTTCTTAAGCGTAGATCTAGCATGGGCGGTTCTAGCAGGGCGGGACTGGCTTGCGGGGTGGGGGGAGGGAATGTGAAACATTTGGATTTCACTCTACTTGGATCTGAGAAGGTCCTTTAAGGCGAACGCGAACATGTTCTGGGCGAACGTGTTCGTGTTCGCCAAAACGTACGAAATGTTCGCCTCTCTTGGCGAACTTCGAACACCCTTTCTGGTGTAAAGTGTTCGGCGAACCGAACAGTGTTCGGTTCGCCGAACAGCCATGTTCGAGCCCAGGCGAACACGAACATGTTCGTGTTCGCCATTTGCTCATCCCTACTTAGGGTTTCGTACACTGCAGACCCGACTTCCTTGGTCCTGACCCGAATTCGGGTCGGATCAAGCCTGACCCAAAACCCGACCCGACTCGGCCCGAGTTCCGTGCTCGGGTCGAGTTTTAGCCCGGATCGGGTCGGGTCGGCCCGCACGGGGCAGGCAAATGAATCCACTGACCCGACCCGGGCTAAACCACGGGTCGGGTCGGGCCGTCCCGACCTGCGCGGGGCAAATGCTCATCTCTAACTTGACTTGTTGTGAGATGCTTGACTTGTTGTGAGATGCTTGAATTGTTGTGAGATGCTTGACTTGTTGTGAGATGCTTGACTTGTTGTGAGATGCTTGACTTGTTGTGAGATGCTTGATTTGTTGTGAGATACTTGACTTGTGGTGAGATACTTGAGTTGTTGTGAGATACTTGACATGTTGTGAGATGCTGACTTGTTGCGAGATGCTTGACTTGTTGCGAGATGCTTGACTTGTTGTGAGATGCTTGACTTGTTGTGAGATGCTTGACTTTTTATAAGATGCTCGACTACTTGTGAGCTGCTTGACTTGTGAGATTCTTGACTTCTTGTGAGATGCTTGAGCGTCAATTAGACTGATTTCTTGTTTTAGTTGCTTGACTTGTTCTTACGTACGTTTTCTTTCCAAACGCTTATGTTTCACTCCGTATTCATAACCTTTGCAATGTCATTCCAGCCATGTGTTTGTGAGTGATTGTCCATCAACATATTCTCGTACCATAAACCCACAGCTATGCACACCACCACCTACACATGCATGGAGTATGGTCTTTGAGCTTGCAGTATTCATGCTTTCCATTTTTACTCCCACAGATTCCTGCAGTTCAACAAATTGACCGGCACAATTCCTGAATCGCTTTACACTCTCACAAAACTAAGCAAGTTGTGAGTGCAGTGCAGTTCTAATTGGCTTCCCAGTCAGGTCAGCCTTAGCCAAACTGCATGCACACACAACCACACCGCACACGTGCATTTCAGAAACCACAGGCTT